TTTTTAATTAATATTATCATTTAAACTATTTTCTACACAAAAAAATATTTAAAACAAACATCAACACTTTAACTTTAGGTCCTTAAAATATTTTTTCCTGTCAGCTTTCGACTGATTCTCCATAGCATGCGGCATTGCCTCTAAAACAGCAGCAAGTGCAGCATCATTCCTTCCATCCATCCCAACTTATTTCTACAACATAAACAACGGTTAGAACTCAAGTTAACAATACTCGATTGTTAGACACACTACGACTCGACAACTTGGTCAGACAGACCGACTTGCTTTGATACCAACTTTGTAACACCCCAATTCTACCCGGCAATTATTATAAAATCAGAGTTATAAAATTCCGGCAATCAAATCAGGATGCTACAATTTCAACTTAAAACAACGACATTCATTACAGATACATAACACATTAAACTTGGATGAACCAACGACAACATAATTTAATCTTTTGAAATCAACAGCTTTCATAACTACGCAGCGGAAAATCATAATATCCAACTTAAAGGACATAACATCTTGTCCAACTGGAAACAACTGTAAAACGACAAGTACTTAACAAAAATCAACTTAAAATTTAGTAACACAAGTAAAATCAGCAATATATCAATAAGCGTTCATCCCCCCGAGTGATACGTATCAGAGCAATGACACTGACTCGAACTACTGAAGGTAAATCGCCTTCACTTTGGATTTCTCGCACATTACCAACATCGGGGTAACATTCAAATATAAGGGATGAGATATCTAACAATATAATTGAACGTATGATAAACATTATGTTAGAACCAGTTAATACAAAATCATTGCTTCACAACTTATAACCAACAACAGTCACAATAAGATACCGACAAAATATAACGATCAATTCATCACAAAACATCTCAAATATACAACGTGGAATACAACTTATTACTATGCACATGCATGTGGTACCAGTGGAGCAAAACTCCCAACTTAAAAATCTGCCAATAAATAAAGGCATCAACAAGGCATAACCCTTCAACTTAATATTTTGCCAATTCAGACCAACTTAACGAGCATTATCTCCCAACATGATATGCTATATATGCGACAACATGATTAACAGCAACCACGACAACATCACCATATAACAACTTTGGCATAAACCTACAACGTAATATTTTTCCTATAATAGAGGCAACACAACAAAATTCATCACCTGTAACTTCAAGAATTAATAACACCGATATCACAATGACTTTTATATATATATATATATATATATATATATATATATATATATATATATATATATATATATATATATATATATATATATATATATATATATATATATATATATATATATATATATATATATATATATATATATATCAATTACCCCTATTAATACTATACTTCCTGTCGAGACCAACTCTGTAACTAATAATCTTACCTGCTATACTTATGCTAATCTACAATTATTCACTTTTGTTACTAATAAATAGCCTCTACTGTTATTCATTCTTTTCTAACTCTACTACATCCATTTTTGTAACTAAATACTAAAGTTATGGTCGATTCTAGAAAATCCAACAAAGAAAACATCTATCAGCTACTGACAACCGTCGCCCGGCCAAGCCATGCATCGCCCGACGATGCTGCCTTCGCGTCACCCTTCGCCCGATGATGCTAGGCGTGACGCACTCTAGTAGCTCATCCAAAAATATGACTTCTTCTCGCCTCCACTTTTTCCCGACAAAGCACCGTCACCCAACGATGCTCCTTGTATTACCCACCAATTCTCTGCGAACAAGGTTTTCCTATTTGTGATTCTGCACTATTCCAGACCAAACTTTCTTGCGATCTTGTCACATTACGGGTCCTAAACATCATCTAAACATATAGTTTCACTATCTATCAATTCATCTCAATGCAATACTTTTCGTACACCAATTATGGGTCCTTTTTCATCATCAAATCCTTTAATCCTAATTTCTATTACTCATAGGTTTTAGGTTGGTGTTTCATGGCATTATCATCATAAAAACATAATTTCCCAACAACAATCACAATCATAATATCCCATTATAGAGTCAGAACCCCACCCTTACCTTGGATTGAAGGTTGCTCTACAATTTTTCCGATCGAACCTCGCTTTGCATCTTCTCTTCTTTGCTCTGCAACTTCTACATTCTCTTTCTCTCTTCCAACCCTTATTCCTCTTCTTCCTAACAAAAACCTATTTTTCTATTATTATAACAAAACTCAATAATAATAGTATTTCTATTGGGCTTAATTCTCACACTCCCTTAATACTACATACCACCATATAAAATAGGCCCACACTAATATTCTATTAATTCCAACATTACTATTATTATTAATCAACTAATTAATTAATTAATAATAATCTAGCAACTTATACCAACAATTCTCAACATCTCACACTTTTCAACAAATAACCCAAAAATAATTTAATTAAATAAACGGGAGTTACAAGGCTCATGACACATGGATCACATCTTTATTATTAAGTGTTTTGAGAAGTTTGAAAGAAAAATAGATTTTAGTTTTAATGAAAATTCAAAAGAGAAATAAAAGACTAAGGGGGACTAGCAAAATAACCCTAAAGTTATCATGCATTATTGATCCTATAGTTGAGGATTAGAGGGAAACATTAACCTAATATTCTCATGCATGGATAGAGATCCTAAGGTCTTTTTAGTTCAAACTTAGAGAAGAGTGAACTAAAGATCCTATGGGGAGCATGGTAAGAGGATAGGCAAATAAAGAAGGGAAGGGGATGACAAAACATCATACACAAAGATGACAAGACATCGAGAAGCATGTATCAATTATAGATGACAAAATTTCTAGCAAGGATGACAAAACATCAAGAAATATGTATCAAGTATAGATGATAAAACATCTAACAAGGATGGAAAAACATCAAGAAACACGTATCAAGTTTGGATGACAAAACATCTAACAAGGATGGAAAAATATCAAGAAACATGTATCATGTATAGATGACAAAACATCTAACAAGGATGGGAGAATATCATGTAGAGATGTGATGATAAAACATCATACTAAGAATGAGATGGTAAGACATCATGTATGGATGACAAAGCATTAAACAAGTAAGATGATAACACGTCAACAAACACACAAGGCATAGTGATAAAACACATAAGAGATGAAGATATCACAAACAAACTTGAGGAAGTAAAGAAGAGAGATAAGAAAGAAAAGGTAAGCGAACAAATTTGCATGGCATAAAAGCACATCAAGACATGATATAGGTTCTGACCTTAACATATTAAACATCTTAGACTACCCTAAGCATATCATTATGAGTCAAGAAGTAGAAGAAATTACCTAACTAGGCAAGTAGAGATGCAAGTGTGCAATTAGAAGATAAAACTTCACATCATGATAAAACATGCAAACATGGATGAGACAAGAGGTAGATACCTAAGTTTAAACATGGTTTAAGACATCATAAACTATCATTAAGGAATAACATGTTAACCAGCATCACCTAATCAAAACAAACTCACATGATGAAAATAGATGAAACTCAAACAAGTGACAATTGCATCAAGAAATAAACAAGTGAATCCTACGGGAACATGCAAAGGGACAAAAGTTGTCATCTCAATTTTAATTGAGTGACATCGTCGATTAGCAACAAAGGAAAATGATAAAGTCCTAAGGGAACATGAAAAGATCGAAGTCGTTATCTCAATTCTAATTGAGTGACATCATCAATTGGCAACAAAGGAAATGATAAAATGCTAAGGGGAACATGCAAAGATCGAAGTCGTTATCTTAATTCTAATTCAGTGACATCATCGATCGTCAACAAAGGAGAAAAACACAAGTAGCAAATAAGTGCAAAATGTCTGCTACAGGTCTTTAAAAAACAAATTCAAGCGCACACCATTTATTCCTTACTATTCATGATATATAGAAAGCAGTGAAAATGCAAAAAAGTAAACGAGAATCAGAATTATACCAAACAAACTAGAGTTTATGGCAAAGCAGGCAAAGCAAAGAAACCCAGAAAACTTCAAGCGGGCTTCACCAAGCAACAAAGAGGAGTCAAAAATCAAATGCTCCGAATAAGCGTCGAGGCATCATCGATGTTAAAATAAATCACAATCGAAAAATCAAGCATATCCACATATCACACAATAAACATGCATAAGACTCAGATCTCGACAAGCAAAGTTGAATCACAAATCTCATGTAATCAGATAATCATGATTTAGTTCCTAAAATCAAATAAAAAAATCTAACAAATTTTTATTGATTTTACAATTTTTCATGTCAAGAAATATAGCCAAAGAATAATTGGTAAAAGAATTAAAACAACAAAAATAAAACAAAACCGATGAATCAAAGGGAGGTGTGACCTGTGATCCAGGGGATGAAAATTTGAATGTGATGGTGGTTTGGAAACAATGGCTCAAAAGCCAATAGTAAATTCCACATACCATTTTTTGTTGCAATCAACTTTAGGTGCCAAAAACTATGCCATTGGGCTTAGGGGAGAGGTACAGGTCAAGCCATTAACAAAAAAACACCAAGCCCAAACTAAATTTATTTTATTTCTTATTATGATACTTTTCTGATGAATTAAAAAAATAAAACAAAAAATAATAATAATAAAACAAAATGTAAGGTTAGGGTTTATTTGTTCAAAATTGTGACTCTTCAGGTTCTTATCAAAGAGAACTCGATTCCTCTCTTCTTCACATAGCGTCCATGATCTCCACCTTCTCTAACCTTCAACGATGGTGCAACTCGCCATTCTTCTTCTCTGATCAAAATCACATAGAGCGGCCGCCTCACAAATCAGCGCCTCCGTCTTGCTTCAACATCCACTCGAGACTTCTCTCTTATGTCTCACTAAATTCGTATGTTTATTTTCAAGATCTAAGTGAAATAAAATCGCCAGAGGAATAATTGAGGAGGACTTACCGACCGAAAAAAATGTCTGGTGCTTGTTCAATTTAATGAACACGACGAGAAAACCACAGATATATGATTCAGGTACGTATACTTCTTCTCTTGTCCCAATCTTCTTCAATTTTTCATTTCCCCGTGAGTTTTACGCTAATGAGAGAGATTCACTATTAGCGATCTGTGATGTTGTTGCGATCTTGTTGCAAATTCGTGGTGATGATGTAAATAAATGGAGTTTGATGATGATGTGCAGAGGAGTTGTGATTGGTGATAAAGCTCGGTTCTGCAGTGTTGTTGAGAAAAGATTAACTATGAAAAGTGAAGAGAAGTGGAGTAGCAAAGAATGAATATGAAGGAAATCGAAGATGATGATGAAGGTCAAGAGAGAGAGAGAAGATTGAATGCCGAGAACTGATTTAGAGGGAAAAGATGAAGTTGTGCAGGACCAGGGAGAGAGAGCAGTGAAAATTTGTTGAAGCTTTTGGTGATTCTTCTGAAGTTTGAAGAATATGTTGCGGTTCAGAGAGAACTCAAAGAGTTTTTGTGAAGTTTCTATGGTGATTCTCCAGATTGTGAAGAATGAGTCTCAACGAAGATGAGTTTCGATTTTATAATTCGTTTGAATCGCAGAAAGTTAGTTACAGTTTGTTAGGAATTAGAGAATCTCAGACTTAGATCCTGAAAGTTTGTTACAAGATGGAGGGTGAGGATCGATTAAAAAAGAAACTTGCTTTGAAAGCATTGCTAAACTGTAATTGAACTTTTCCTTTCATTTTATTTCTTGATATTTTTCTATTCTGATTTTATGTTATAATATGTTGAATTGTCATACTGATAACAGGGTTGTTCATCCTGAACCAAATTTTTGAACTTGTTTATTATAGATGCAGAGATGCTGGTCATTTTTGTATTGGTGCAGGGCATTTGTTTATTTTTGTTATAACTTTCTGATATGTTTCTTTTTGGTGGGTTGTGATAATTATGATTTGCCAGACTGTGATACTTTGCTGCTTAGGCTGGACTGTTGTGATTCTGACTTGTTTCTTTTTACTCTTTATGATTTCTGATTTTTATACTTTGTTGAACAATGATTCTATACTGAGCTTTCAATAACTCGCTTCTTGGACCTTCTATTGTGAACCAAAACTAGCTTTGAGATTTGCAATAGGAAAATTGGCCCATGATTAAATTTAAATATGATTTTTGTTATGAAATAAATGGATATGAGGCTTCATTGTTGCTTGAATGTGATTGAAGGCTACACTTAATTTTGATTCCTTACCAAACCCTAAAGGTGCAGTTAAAAACAAGAAAACTTTTAGTGAGAAAACTTGTTCTTCTTCATGTTTTGGTCTCTTGATCTCTTGATAACAATTTTCTTTTTCTTGTTTCATTAACAAATGATGGATGAGCTTGAAAAGGCGAGGAAGAATGCTTGAAGAAGGATGAGAGAACCACTTGAAGATGAGGCAGAGGAAATGGATATAGCAATCTTAAAGACTGAAGAAGAATGAGTCTTGGAGGGAACTTGAAGAAATGAAGATGAAGACCTCATTAGCAAATTTAGGACTTATGAATTTGAATACTCTTGTAACACTTTTCTGAGAAACTTTGAATTTGAGGGTATTGTAAAGAATTTTGTAAACAAACTTGAAACATTTGTGGAGTTTTTGTAGATGGGTTAATAATGTGTTAACTCTTGAGTAAATGCAAGAAAACTTGAATAAATCTTGATGACAAAAGTTGGAACAATATGATCTTGAATGATGAATAAAGTTGAATGGCAAATGAACTTGAATTTTGAACTCAAATAATGAGTATGGGATGATGTTGAATAAATAAGATTGAAACTTGCATCTTCCATTGAAATCTTGAATGAACTTTGGCTCTAGGATACTGTTGTACCCCAAAATTTTCCCTCTCTTTTTCACAAGAAATCACAGGTTCGGGCTTTTCCTGATTTTTCAGATTGGTTTAAGAATCGGTCAAACGGACTTTTCTTATCAGTCAAACAAAACTAGGGTTTCCAATGACTTTTGAATCAGTCAGACAGATTATTAGGGTTTCTATTGATTTGTTTGATTTTGGCTCAGGGTTTGATCAAGAAGACGCTTCTTTGACAATAAATCAAGAATTAGGGTTTGCACGCGCATTTTCAGAAGAATTTGAATCCACAGTGTCTTAATTGGCTGTCACACTGCTTTGACGCCTGTTCAAGATTTCGGTTTGTCTCCAAAAACCTGAACCTCTGGGATGAGAAGTGAGGCATTTGAATTGAGAGTTTGAAGTGTTGGGTTAATCAGTGAAGTGAAAGACGTATGGACGTTTGTTTGTTTGACTGTGCAATGCTATTGGTTATTTGGAATGTCGGGCGTATTATTGGTTAATGCGAAGTTGCAAGACTACAGCGTTTATTAATTATTTATTTTATCTAAGTTAAAATAATTGGAATGCATTTCCAGTCATTTTAATTCAAGAGATTTAAATAAATAAATAAATAAACAGTGAAATAGAGAATTATCTGACAAAAGATTTTTTATTCACTTTTAATTGTTGTTACAAGTGTTATTTGAATACAGTAAATTTATTTACAGTATTTATAATAATGTTTATTACAAACAATTGAAAGAGAAAATAAATCTATCCTAAGTCTTCATCTTCTACTACTGTTCCCCTTTGCTCAACTGATATTTATCTGCAAAGACAAAAAAGGAAGAAGTCAATACAGTTAAAATTAAAAAAGGGCATTTTCAGACAGTTAATCATAAAAACTCATCATTAAAAGTGTTGGCCGGAATCAGTTTGTTCGTCCTCTCTGCAAATCGCAAGAAGACTCTCTTCTTGGTTCACAAAGAGGGAAAGAAAATATGTTTGCAAGCATATGAATTAAATACAAGGCAGCATGTTAAACAAAATGCACAAGAATGCATAAATTCAAACAAGGCAAACTGAACAGCCAAGTAAAAAATTCAAACAAGCTGCACATGTACAAACTGAATATGCCAAAGTTCAAACTGAACAAACAAGTTTCACAAGTTCAAAATGTCAACCAAGCTGTCAAACTGTCAAAGAAGCCATCAAACTGTCAATGCAGAAGAAAGTACACAAAAGGCAGAAAATCTAGAAGTAAGAAGATATGCAGAGAAAAGCCAAAATGCAAGCTAAATTTCATCATTTTCCAACCAACACTTTTTCAGAAAAAAGTACAGTTTAAGCAATAAAAAATGCTTTTTCTGTGGAGAGAGAAAGAGAGAGAGAAGTAGAGGCTTACAGTTTGCAGGCTTAGGAGATAAAGATATAAAACAAAGAGTATCATAACAGTTCAAGAGGAGGCAGAAAAACATAAAGAAAAATATAACACAAGCTCTCAAGCCTGTAACTTCCAAACAAGCCTCAAAACTACCTCAAGCAAGCAAACAACAGCCTGCCTCAAGCTTACATTCAACCTGCCATCATAAAACCTCCAGCCTGCATACAAGCACAAGCCTGCTTCAAACTGCTCAAGCCTCTAACTTGCAAGCCTGCCTTTAGCCCTGTCAAAAAAAACTACACAAAGCCATACAAACCTGCTAAGCTTCAAACTGTATCAACCTGCCTCAAAACTCCAAAACAACAAAGCCTTGAAGCAAGCAAACAACAGCCTGCCCAAAGCCATACAAACCTGCATAAGCTTCAACAAACCTGCCTAAAAACCAGTAAAAGCAAGCCTGTCAAAACAAATCCCAACAAGCCTGTCAAAGCCTAAACCCCAACAAGCCTGTCAAAAACCTATATCCCCAAACAACATTCAACATGTCCAAACTAAAACTCATACAATATCCAAACATCCAGATATCCAAACAACAAAATTAGGCGCCTCAGAACTAGGTTCATCATAGGAAAATCCAACCAAGCCCCAAAAGAGAGAAAGAGAATCAGAAGTAAGCAGACAAATCTCAGAACTAGGTTCATCATAGAATCAACACATCCAATATCCAAACAACAAAAATGAGTGCCTCAGAATTGGATTCATCATAGGCTAAACATATCAAGTCAAAGAGAGGGAAAATCATAAGCAAAGCTTATCATCATAACAAAGCAAGCCAAAGAGAGGAAGAGAGTCAAGAGCAAACAAGCAAACAACCTCAGAACTAGGTTCATCATAGGCTAAACAAAAGCACAAGTATCTCATAATCGAATTCATCATAGGCTAAACAGAAGCAAGCAATCAGAAGAAGAAAAGAACATTCCAGAAGCATTGTTTTCAGATTACGGTATCAACATAAAACATACAAACCATTCAAAAGAAAGATACGAGGTTACCAGCAAGCTCTCGTCATCATACTCCCTCGCCTTGGCCGCCTAAGATGCCTCCTGTCCACTTCTCCGCCTCTTCTCCAAAAGCAGAACAAAGGTATTGTCCCTCTTTCCTTTTTTCTAACACCTCACATGAACACAAATAATAATCAAAGATCAAAACAAGGAAAAAGCTAAAACATGCACGGATATGCAAACCCTAAAACAGAAACCATACCTTGTCACCACTTGGTACAACCATGGAGAGAGGGGAAGTGGAGGTGGCGCCTGGTAGCCTGAGGAACGGATGAAGCGTCAGAAGCCATGGTTTGAGAAAATGAAGAGAACGAAGAAGAAGAAGAAGGGAGCGGCGCCGTTTGTGAAACTCTGTAACCCTAATTCTGAAACAAACATTTCAAACCCTAAACAAAATTTACACAAGCGTTTGGGCCTGTCCCTTGAAAAAAAAACCCTTAAGCCCATTCAATTCTGGCGCACCCCCCTTTCTCTGAATCTGTTTGTTTGTTTGTTTGGGCCAAACAATGACATCAAGCCCATTTATTTCTTTTTCTTATGTTTATAACTAATACTTTTTTTTTTCTTTTTTATAACCTAAATTTCTTTTGGTAAATAAAAATACATTAACTTTTTTGTACAAAATTTTCTTAAATGCTTCTTTTTATTTTAGAACAATTAAAAATACATAAATATTAGGTTATTAAGTTTAAATAATTTTCTTGTGTTTAAAACCTTTTTTGTTTAATAAATCTTTTTACATAATCTTTTTAAAACATTAACTAAATACATGAATAATAGTTTTCTTTAACTTAAACATTTTTCTTTTCTTTTCTTTAAAACTTTTTGTTTATATCATTAACAAAAAACACAAAAATAACAATAATACTTAATACATTAGGTTGACATTTTAATCACTTGTAGATAATCATGTGCATCATACTTTGCTTTTGATTCCTTTTTATTCTTATACTTTTACATTGAGAATATGACGATTCGATTTGGTTGTAAATAACATTTGTACACTACTATCCTGATAAGACTCATCCCCATTTGT